TTTTAATCGACGATTCCAATGGAGGTTCTGCATGAGGGTTTTATTCAGAATACAATGAGAGTTAAATCAGCAACTATCCAATGAAGGAAATGAGCTCCATGAAAACACTTAAAGAGCGTTAAAATCTGCAGATTGTTTATGGAAGTTCTGACCTCATTTTCGTTCATAAAAGACAAATAAACTTAAGACTTAAATTAGCAGTTTTCAATGGCAAGTTTTTTAAAGGTGACAGACAATATGGAATTAACTTCAGACTTGGATATTTAGAAAAATCCATTCAGAAAAAAGACGTTACAGTTGAACATTAAAAGTACTAAATTAGCAGTTGACTGGACTGAATTAGATTCTCAATCCAGAACAAAGACTTACTGGAGATGTCTTTTTTCTTTTATTCCTTTAAATATGGAATTAAAGAGAGATTTGTTATTTTTGTATGAATTATATTTGTATCTTACATCTCCAATTAAAAAAAGTTAACTAAAGTGAAAAAGGAATAAGGAACTCCATGGAGGTTGATTTTGTTTATGTTTTTAAATAGATTTTTTTAAAGGTGACAAACCTTCAGAATGAGCGTTAAAGCAGCAACAATTCAATAGAAGTTCACACTTTGGTGTTAGATAAAGAAAATAAAACTCCATTCAGAAGAAAACCTCAATAAATAAAAGAAAAATACACTCTGAGATACAGCAGTAAGTAAATTAGCAAATTTCCAAAGGAAGTTCTGAATTAGATTCTTTTATCAGGAAACAAAAATAAGCTCTTTACACAAGGAAAGACTTATGAGAGTTAAACAGATCCAACCGAGGTTCTGATTTTATGCTAAATTAAAGAGAGAGAGCCTTCTTACAAGGCCCCCAAAGACATATGAGATTTAACTCAGTAATAAAATTTACACGAATCAACAGTTTTAATCCCATTTGAACCACACATCGTTGTCCAGCAGAGAATTCACCGCTCACACACACACACACACACACTTGAAGCGCTCTATTGTCGACCTGCTTCAGCATCAAAGAGCAACTTTAGGAAAACATAATTTTCAAATTTGTCCACATTAGTGAGAGCACAGCCTGAGAAGAGCAGCAGCAGCTGGACGAAACTGAGCGTAAAATGCTAACTGTGTGTGTGTGTGTGTGTGTGTGGTGTGTGTGTGTTGTTGGTGTGTGTGTATGTGTGTGTGGTAGTGAAATGCAGGCTGGTGTGGGTTCAGGCTGTGGTAATGTGTGTGTGTGTGTGTGTTGTTGTGTGTGTGTGTGTGTGGTTTGTGTGTGTGTGTGGGTGTGTGTGTGTGGAATGAAATGAGAGGCAGACAGATTGAATGAGAGCTGAATGAGTCTGTTAACAAACACTAATGTGTCTCACAGAACCAGAACTTCCATTAGAGAAACATGAATTTAAGGTCTAAAACCAAACTAAAACACATAAAGTTAAAGAATCTCACCATTACACCGTTAAAGTAAAAAAGTATGTTGCGACACCAGTTTGTACATTGATATTTTAGGCCCCTTTCCGGGTGAGCACCATTATTAACAGGATATAAAAGGTAGGTAAAAATCAGGATTTCTGCCTCTTTATTTACAAAACCAACTGTGTATATATATATATTATATATACATATATAATATATATATATATACATATATATATGTGTACATATATATACCAGAAAGACTTATTGAGTGTTAAATCGCAGATTCCAGGTGAGTTCTGACTTTGAATATCCATGTTTGGAGCTTTATGTTCTCCAATGTGGACCAAATGCAGAACCTCTATTGGAAATCTGCTGATTTAACGCTGCCAGGTGTTTCTTCTCTATTACATTCATTCATCACAAATTCAAGCCAGAACTTCCCCTGGAAATTGTTTTAATTTAAGTCTTCTAATTAAAGTGTGAATGAAGTTTGAATGAATGATTAATTAAGAAAATAAGCTCCTTTACAGAAAATAACGATGATGAGACTTAAATTCAGCAATTTCCAGGTGAAGTCTGGACTTGGATTTCGATAATTAAGAAAATAACTTCATACACAGAAACACGGCTTCACATTAATGTCTTGCCATCGTCACATGTTACACTGTCACATACATGGTTACACTGTCACATATCATGTTCAGCTGTCCACATACTTTTGGCCACATAGTGTTATTGAACTGAGAAAGAGAGGCGTTATCAGTCTGTTAATAGCTCAGTGACGTTAGTGGAGCTGCAGTTAACAGAGTAATAATAGTACTTAAGCAGGTTGTGTGTCTGTGTGTGTGTGTGTTGTGTCTGTGGTGTTGTGGTCCTGGTGTGTATGTGTTACACCCCCCCCCCCCCCCCCACACACACAACACACACACACACACATCACTCGGAGATCAGTTTGGTCTGACATGTTGGGACCCTGTAGGAGCTGGCTGCAGGCCTCCTGTGTGCAGACGTGTGCTGCTGTTGTCGGTCTGCGTTTTGTCCTGTGTGTGTGGTGTGTGTGTGTGTTGTGTGTGTGTGTGTTGTGTGATGTGCAAGTAATATCAGGTTTCTGACCAGCGCTGAGCAGAAAAACAAACAGTGGAAATGAAAAACTGTGATTAGTTTTGTGAAAATGTATAAAGTGTTTGTAAAACAAACAGCAGAATATGAGAGACGAGAGTTCTGTGGTGTGTGCTGTGTGGTGTGTGTGTGTGTGGAGGTTCTGTGTGTGACAGACATCAATTGATAAAATTGCCGGCGACTTCCTGTGTTTGTATTTGACACTCACACACACAACACAACACACACACACACCAGTTGTCAGTCAGTGGGTCCTGGAGGAATCTAGAAACCACTTACTGTCAAGATAATCAATAAAACCTTAACATGACGTTGAATGGATGAATCAATCAGCTTTGATCTATCGATTGGTGTCAGCTCTGATCACACCTGGCTGCTCACAGCTGCACACATTGATCATTCCTCTGATCAGATCACACTTTATTGATCTGGGCACGCTGGGGAGGAAGGACCAAAGAGCAGAGCTGGTCGTTAACGTGGTCTTCATCAGATCATCAGAAATCAGTCTGTTTCTACCGAGATCTATTTAGAGGTTAATCAGCAGTTTCTAAAGGCAAGTTCTGATTGGATTCTAACAATTACAACTAGGACAGACCTGAATGTTACGATTATTGTTTCTTGTTTACTTTTTATCTGGAAATAAATCCAATTAATAATATTGATCAATGTGTTCACTCCACTCTTCTCTTGTTGTTGTCCACATTGATCCTGTCAGTTAATGTTAGTGTCCTCTGTTCCCTGGCACCCGACGAGAGCTGTGCCCTGTCCAGGCAGCCACACCACACACACAGTACACCACACACACACACCCACACACCACACACACGACACACCACACAGTAACACACCACACACACACACCACACACACACCAGACATAAAACAGACGACAGCGACAGATTGTCTCAGGGTGAGAGGTTAAATAAAGGTCACATGTCAGACAGAGACTGTGTGTGTGTGTGTGTGTGTGTGTGTGTGTGTGTGTGTGTGTCCTCAGGCTGTGTGCAGAACAAAGCAGGTGTTGAAGGTTTGAATCCCAGCTGGGAGACCGAGGTCAGAGGTCACTTCCTCTATCACTCTGTCACTCCATTCTTCTTCTTCTCTTGTTTCCTCTGATCGCTACAGTCCGTGAAACCACTTCCTGTTCCTGTATTCAGGCGACACCATGGCAACCGAATCATCCACAACACTAAATCATTTTATAAAAAAATAAAAAGTTTTATTTTCTTATGTGTGTTTCTGCTGCTGAAGAAAGAAAAGGTTAGCCTAGCTCCATTAAAGGTACAGAACAATAATAATAAACACAGGTCACCAAAGGAAGGGTCCGCTGTTTGAGGCAATTTAGCTGCTGTGATGTGGTATTATATTTAAGAATACATATTTAATAATATATATTTAATAATATATATTTATATTTAGTTTTATTTTTCTCTGGAAGAAAACTGATGGATTAAAACTTTAAATCCGTTTCTGGAGCTCAGATTTCTGTCAGAAACTGGAATCAGTGTTACATTCAGTGTCTGCTGCAGTGTCCTACTTTAATGTCTCCTCCCTCACTCTGCTGCTGAGAGTGTGTGTGTGTGTCTGAGTGTGTGAGTGTGTGTGTGTCTGAATGTGAAAGACGGCAGCTTGTTTCTAAGAAAGAGGAAGTTAAAGCAGCAGAGTCCAAACAGAAGGGAGTCTATTTCAGTCCGGATGTGTCAGTGTGGATAACGATGAATAAAAACCACCAGATCAGCTTTAATAAGAACAAAAAAAAGTCCCACAGAGAAAACAGAAGTGTCAGAAATATAATCTGACTGTTCCTAATAAAGACAGGTTGAGTTCAGTGATTGAAGCAAATAAAAGCCTGGATTATCACGTCCAGTTACTTTCAAAATAAAGCTTATTTAGTTAATGCTGTGAAACGGTTGCAGTTTGGTTCGGGCACAGAAACTGCTGGATTAGGAAAAGGATGTAAATTAACTCACATACTTTACTTAAAACAGAGGTCTGCTGGTCTAAAGTCATGTGTTTGTTTGAGGGATCCATCCCACGGCCTCCTTATGTTCCCTCTTTATTCGACATCACCTGACTCTGATCCTGACGGTCCAGAACTGAGCCCAGAGGGAAACCCACAGCGTTGTATTTGGGACTGACCCTTTAAAAAGAGGAGGGAAGGAACGCATCATCCTTCAGTTTATCACAAACATCCAAAATCACCAAATATGGAAATACGTGCTGTAAAAGGAGGGAAAATATATTTGATTTAAGTACAAGCAACTCATTTATTGTTAAGGAAGGTTAAATTAAGTTAATTCAACCTAAAACTCGAAAGTAAATTAATCTCATATGCAGCATTTCTCCAAACTTATTTAACAGAATTTATTTGAATAATGTAAATGCTTTTTCTTACTACTTAAATTTAATTTATTCAGTTTTCTTCCAGTGAAAGTTAATTATAACATAAATGGTGAAAGAGGTTGAATGAAGTCTGGTTACTGGAAACAACCTGTGACGGCACTCACCTGTCACTCAAAGAGACCACGCCCCCTTAATTATACATAACTTGAATTATCTGCAGGTGTTTGTGGACAAATAATAAACAGTAATATACTATAATTTAATATATAATATAATATAATAATATACTTCTATCACCAGACTCCCTTAAAGAAACTGTTTATTGAGTTAAAATAAAATGTTCCTTTATTGATCCCTGTAGGATAAATTTAGATTTAGCTCATGTACAAATTTATTCAAATCATTAAATGAATCTTAATTAATCTAGCTAAAGTATAAAATGTCTGATTTCGTTCTTTGTAGAACATTGTGATGAAATTACAGGACAAAATAAAATAATTCATTAAAACTTAACATACAAACTTCCTGGAGGGACTTTAATTTTGTATTTCTGCCATGAATTTCTATTTTTGAATAATGTGTTAACTTACTCTTCCTGTATGATTTGTGCAGGAGGGTGACTCATCATTAACTTTTAAAAGGATACTGCCGTAACTACTGAAGGATGGCCGCCCAACATCATTCAGACCAGAAAATACCAGAAATATATCAGAAATATATTTTTTAATATAGTTAATGACATAGAAACATGAAAAACAACAACACAACAACAGATTCAGCTTATGAAAGCAAGTATTTACAGTATTTACAGTATTTACAGTAATATCTGATCCACAATCCTTCAGTGGAGCCTCAGACTCTCTGATAGTGTGACAGATGATTCACCAGCACTTCCTGTCTGTGGTGGATTCTGGGAGAGATAGTACACACACTCCTCTCTGCTGCCTCCTTCACTCTTTAGCTTTAGTACAGATTATTATTATTATTATTATTATTATTATTATTATTATTATTATTATTATTGGTGTAATATGAACTTCAGCTGCTCCTCAGTCACAGTTCAGCCTCTCCTTTATCTTTTGAGCAGAATCATTAAAACGGCCACAAACACCAACGCAGCACACACCCCGAAAACAACAGCTACCTTCCAGGAGTCTGAAGGTTGTTGGTTCTCTGGCTCTGAATCACCGGCTGCTGTTACCCCCTTCTGTCCCGGTCCAAGGCCAGAACCCGGGCCAGTGATTGTGGGTGGGACTGGTACGTTTCCAGCATTCACCACTGTCACATTGGGATCTGGTTTCACTCTCAGATATACTGGACTTCTATTACACATATACATTCTTTCATCATCTAGTGTAACATGTTTGATTTGCAGAGAGTTATCTGGCAGAGAAACAAAGCGTTTGTCAGATGTTTCCACTTTGCCATTTCTGACAAAAATCACCGGTTTACCATCTCCTAAGAGGTTGGTCCATGTTACATCTCCCGTCTTATGAGGACAGGGCAGTGTAGCCACAGAGTTCAGCAGCACAGTAACTAGGATGGGACTGCCTGTAAAGTAAAAAGGCAGCGATCAGTAACAGATTGAAGGTCGGTTTCTTTGCTTCAGACTGTGTTAAACTGCCTTCACACGATAAGAGATTAACTATTAATCCTTCAGTTCATCACAAACATTCAACGCATCAGGACTTACAGGAAGTGTAACTAAAGTAATATATATATAAATATATAATAAGAATCAAAAATAAAGACGTTCTCACCGGCGGAGCTGAGACAGAAACGTCCAGCGAGGAGAACGAAGAGATAAAACAACATGTCTGCAGCCTGGGAACCTTCAGTGTCACTGACGGAGGAAGTTATGAGCATTAACACTGTGGTTGGAAACACTTAGTGCTGTTACTGTAGATAACCTCTGCCACAACCACTAACTGCATGTTCACTGGAAACAAACACTAACAATGCTGTTAACTGTGGAAGGAAGCTTAAAATAATTATTTATATATATTAATATATATATAAATTAATTTAGGATGAGTCTTCTTTCTATATCTGATGCTGCAGAGCAACAAACTGAGTTCATCTGTGGGAACATGAGTCAGCATTCAATATTCAATCACCCCGCCCTCTCACACACACACACACACACACACACACACAGACTAACATACACACACACACACACAGACAGACTAACATACACACACACACACACACACACACACACACACACACACAGAAACAATGTTCTCATGAAGCTGTTTTTTTTAAATTGCTCAACTTTAATCCAGAAAAATAAAGTACCAACACTTCTACTTTAGTTAAATAAAATATATATTATGTACAGGTGTTCTCGTCGGGGCTCTGAATTGCCTGCTATGACTTGTTTGTGTTGCCGGCTGGCGATCTTTGATAAATCCCCGAACGACGCCGTGGCCGAGCCCTCGCTTCGCTGGTTTGGCGCTGAAAAAAAAAACCACAACAATGTTTAAAAGGATTCAACCAATTTTGTATAAAATGTCTCCTGAACGTGATGAAGAGCAACAGGCAGAGACACCCACACCGTGGTATAAACTGCTGCATCATTCACACAATGAACTTTATTTACCCTTAAAACGCTCCTGATTAACAGGAGATAATAAAAGAAACGCCCCAACTGAACGCCGTCTCACCTGTGACTCCATGAGGCTTCCAGCCCCAATCATGAGAGGATCTCGAAAGGTGCGGGGATGGACCGTACTCCGCTCCCGTACATCTCTGAAACAGACATGATACACTGCAGTAAAAGAACTGGTCCATGTTTCATCTTAAGACCCTCCACACTGTATAACTAAAATATATGTTGTTGGTTTTTAAAGTTACGTTATTTAAGGTTTAAAAGCTGAACACTGAAAACACTAATGTATCATAAAAAACCCATTAAGTTTTTCTTGCGAATGAGTTGTTTAAAACATAAAATAAACCTAATACAGCTTTCCTTCTGCTCTCTTTTGCAAGCTACATAGGACAACCATTGGAGAGACCATACCTCACCAGCATCATCAAATAATCAAAAATCACATACACAGTTTCTACACAAGTAAATGGGGTCTAAACACCCACATAGTTCCACCCACTCCTGATCCCCAAACCCTTTGGTTGTTTGTTGTGTGTGAGTGTGTGAGTGGGTGCTGTGGTGTCTGTTGTGTGTGTCTCTGTTGTGTGTTGTGTGAGTGTTGTGTTGGTGTGTGTCTGTGTGATGTTGTGTGTGATGTTGTGTGTGTGTTGTCTGTTGTGTTGTGTGTGTTGGATGTGTGTGTGAATGTGTTGTGTGTGTGGGTGGTTGTGTTGTGATGAAAGACTGCAGCTTGTTTGTAAGAAAGAGGAAGTTAAAGTTAAAGAGTTTAAACAGAAATGATGTGTCAGTGTGGATAAATAATGATCAAATATAATCTGACTGCTGCACCAAAATAAGGAATAAAGGGAGTTCTGGACCAGGTGTGGACCAGGTGTGGACCAGGTGTGGACCAGGTGTGGACCAGGTGTGGACCAGGTGTGTCTTTACCTTTATAAATAGCAGCTGCTGCTAATATGGTGTCTCTGTGCAGAAGTGACCTTCTGTTCCAGGCACAGTTACTCTCACCCATACCTGCACACAAACACAGATTATAGATTGTATAGATTATAAATTATAGATTATATAGATTAATGTAAGATTTTAATGTGAAACATTACAATAAAGTGCAATTAAAACTGTTTCTACCTTGTAAATCAGTCATAACCTCAGTGATTCCTGGATAGTGAACCTGAACCTCATCAATGTCCTGAAACAGACAGACAGACAGACAGACAGACAGACAGACAGACAGACAGAGAGAGAGAGACAGACAGACAGACAGACAGATTAATTTGAGCATTGAGGTTGTAACTGGTTATAAACAGTCTCAGTCTAATATTAAAGTCTCTTTATGACCCACATGAACAAACAGCCACCGGGTCAAACAATAAGGCTCACTACCACTACCGTCCACAGGGGTCGCCACAATCAACACAAAATAACAGTTCCCTGTATGTTTGGTTGGTGTTTCTCACCACGGTGAGCATGGTGAAGCCGGCCCGGCCCAGCAGGTTGCCCAGGTCGGTGACGGCGGTGTAGGGGGAGACGTGGGGGGAGAATCCTCCCTCCCTCTCGGTCTCTGCGAGCTGGAGGGAACACCGCAGCTCGTACAGGGTCTCCCCGCCCACCATCGCCCCGATGAACACGCCGTCCGGCTTCAGCACCTGGTGGATCTGAGCAGAGGAGGAGACCGTCAGAGAACATAGGAAACCAGTTACAGCGTTATAGCTCGTGTTAAAGGTCCAGTCACATTTAAACCACTAGTTCCCAACTTCTTGATTTTAAGGGGTGTAAGAAAACTTATCCAGAAGAAATATATATCCAGTAGGTCGATATCTCAACATTTTGTTCCCTTCTGTGTTCATTTCAAAGTTTAGATTTTTATTTAAGATAAACTCTGAAGACCTGAACCCTCTGAGCCTTCAGTCTCTGATCAACAGCCTCGTCCTGAGTTAGAAAACAACCAAAGAGCTGAGAGAACAAAGAGAAGGAAACACTGAATCTGCCACAACAGAAGCCTGCTGAGTCTGTTCGAGTGTTAAAAATAATACAAATACACAATAAAGTTCCTAAAGATATCAGGAAAACTCATCTCTGATGGAAATAATCTGCTCAAAACTCAAAATCTACCTGCAGTTATTGTGTTCACTGTTTGTTGTTCTCTGCTGTTAATAAAACCTGTCACTTCATTTTAATAACAGAGGAAAGTCTGACCTCCAGTGGAAGATCATCACAATCACAGATATAAACTCATTCACAGTTCATTGAACAGAAAGGTTTGCTCACCTGTTTGAGAGCTCCAGGGAGGTCGTTAATCCAGTGCAGGCTGACAGAACACACAGATCCAATGATTTAGAGAAGATAAAGAAGTGGAAATACGTCACATTTAAACTTATCTTATTGAAACCGCCTTTAAATTCCTCCTCAGATCCTCTTTAATGTTTATATATTCCACATACTCTGATGACTCACCTCAGGCTGCTCACCACCAGGTCGAAGGTGTTCTCTTTGAACGGCAGAAACTCTTCGTCAGCGAGGACGCACCGAGTCGGGATCTCGCTCTTCCTCCTCTGCTTCTGGAGGTCAGAGGTCAACAGTGTATCAGTGAGTTCAGCATCCTTCACCCTGACCGTACGCCACGATTCATTCGTCTTCACGTTAAAGGTTCAGTACGTAACTGTACATATTTTAAGTGATATTACTACGACGGAGTATTAGGGCCATACTAAGAGGACAAATAAATAAATACAATTTTGGAAATTACGAGAATAAAGTCGTAATATTGCGAAAAACCAGACAGTTCCTCGTCCACAAAGGAAGCAATTTCGTTCGTTTCGTTGTCGTTTGCACAATCGTTCCAAAGTCCTGATACTGATAATAATTTGATGCTGATGTGACAAAAGATTAAGAATTTCCTTATTCGTGACACTGATACTAAAGTATAACTTCACATGACGCTCAACATTCCTCATTTTAACGCAGACTGCTCTTTCTTATAAGAGTTCTCATTATATTACGACTTTATTCTAGTAATTTTGAAAACAATAAACGTTTTTCTCTTCGTCTGGCCCTAATACTCCGTCGTAATATTACAACCCTTAGAACGTGATTAATATATAAAATAACACATAAAGTGCTTCAGAATCTCACATACGGAAACTTTTACATTTAAAAAATCCTTTAAAAAGAATAAATCCAGTTAATCCTGTTTCAGAGCAGACACCTTCAGTTCACTTTATCAGATATGGAAACAATAATTACAGTGCAGGAGGCTTGTTCAGAGTCTTAATAAAGAATAAACTTTATTAGACATTATTAACGGACAGATGAAGAACTCACCAGAGTTTCCTCGGAGCCGTCGGTGAGAAACAAACGCTCGACCACCTCCTGAAACAGACGGTTAGTTAGTGTGATTGATCAGTGTGATTGATCAGTGTGTAACAGATGATACGGCGTAACTGGATTCAGTGTATCCGTATGTGACCTTTGCCCCCACCGAGGTCCAGAGCCAGAGGGAACGTCCTGAGGAGGCGGGAGGAGGGACGACGTTAGAGAGGAAGCAGACAGAGACAGTAAATGTGTTCAATAAGAAACTCACCTCGCAATGTCATAGACCCGATCTGCCACTCGACTGCCAACCTGCAAGCAATCAATCAATCAATCAATCAATCAATCAATCAATCAATCCTGCAGAAGCCAAACTAGCAGCTGGATGTCCTGATTCTTCTCTGTGTGTTTACTCTCTCATTGTTTTAAAAATAAAACTGTAAAATGTTTATAAAATATCAGCCAGAGGAAACAATCAGTTCAGATTTAATCAATAATTATTAATCATTTTTAATGTTATTTTCAGATATTTATATATATTATATATATTTATATATATTTATAAAACACATATTAATGTTTCCTGTTTATATTTATGTTCTGTACAGAAGCTTAACAACAGTAGAAGCATTAGCTCTGTTTGATATATTATTATTAATATCACAGCAGTATTGATCATTTAATATAAATATTGATCAGGGATCAGCAGTGGGTTATAGTGTGCAGGGTCGGGCTCCCACCTCGTCCCTCAGGTAGTCGTACTGGTGTCCGTCCTGAAGAGAGGAGGCCCAGTTCTTCTGCCTCTTCTTCATCTCCCTGTTGAACACGTTCATGGTTCCGGACCCGGACCCGAACCCGGACCCGGACCCGGACCCGGACAGCCCTCTGCGGGGTCCGGACCTGGACAGGATCCGGCTCCAGGAGGCTGCCGGAGCGGAGCCGGATCCCCGCAGGACTCTGAGACACAGTCCGCTGCTCATGGTGCCGCTCGGACCGGATTACAGACAGAAACAGAACCAGAACCAGAACCGGAGCAGCTTCCGGGTCCCGTTCCTGTCCTCCACTGTCTGACCTCCGCGAGGAGGAGGCGGGAAAACACGGAGCTGGATCCTACTGGATCACTGGAAACTGTGGAACCGGATCAGAGTCTGGAACTGGACTAACAACTGAATATTATTATTATTATATTCTGTTTTATAATATTTATTAATATATTATATTATATTATATTATATTATTTTATTATATATAGTATATATACGTTCAATATAACAGCAGTGTAATGAATAAATACTAATAAATAAATAATAAATACTGCGTTTTTATATGTGTTTTTTTATGTAACATCAAACTGATCTAATAACAAGTCAAAAACATAAAACAGTCACAAAACGGTCCGAAATTTGCTTAACAAATGATTTTACTAATTAATAACGATGATTTCTTTTCTGCCATTAAACTAATATATTAATTGTTTAATCATAAAATACCAACAATAATAAAAACAAGTTAGAAACACAAACCAGAGTTGAACGACATTAAGATATTAGACTCATTAAAATATTAGATTAGATAGAATCAGTGCATATCTAACAAAATACGGTTTTATATTAATTAATTAATGTATTAGACTTGAGACTTATTACGACTGTTAGTTAATCAATTTATAAATTAAATGATTAAAAACAAAAAAAGAATAAATTTAAATAAATTAAATACGTGTAATGATCGTTTATTGATTAATAACTGGTTTTATTTTGGCAGTCATCCTAAATGCTTCCTGTAACCGTAGTTCGCGTTTTTCTCCGTTTGTCCCACTCGGCTCGCCTTACCACAAAAGGGGCGGGAAGAGAGAAAGGTCACGGGAGAGTTGCATGCTGGGAAAACACGTGTATCAGAAGAGCGGGGAGGTATCGATACACTTTTATTGATTACTGATTATTAGAAACGTTGTTTTAAGCTCGTTTTCACACGCGCTCACCGGCACGCGCTCACTGCTGTTTACCGTTAACCGCCGTCTGGTTTCCCGCCGTTTCTGCTTCTTCTTCACTATTCCGACATTTTGTTTACATGCGCAGATTCACAGCTGAGAGTGAGACAGTTACTGACAGA